GTAGAAATATCCAAAATAGTTAAATAAAACCTGAGTCTGGAGAGCAGAGAAACAACACGCCTTGTCTGGGTAAGACTAAGTCAGAACTGGGCATGTGCGGCCAGGCAGGAGGCGTGGCTATCTCAGACTTAGTCTTATTGGGTACAAGGGACTTCAGGAAACCCAATCAAGTGGATTATCCATCCCTCATGCTGGAGAATCAATCTATACAGAAAAAATAAAGCTAAGTCCTTGTTACATTTTCTGTTTTAAAATTGAGTGAAAAATGTGCTTAATCACAGTCATTTTTAAAGCAATAACAATATAAAAAATATCTTCAGTGCTAAAGTGGAAGGTATTATGAAACTGTTATAATGTTTGGAATTTTTTGATTCTAAAGGAATCAAAGGAGGAGTACTATTTTGTTTTGAAATACTGAAAGGAAAGAGAAAACCCTTCTCTGGTGGAAAGCTCACCCCCAAAATGCCAAAAGTAGAGCATTAAATTATCATTTAATATCACCTTTAAAGCCCTTCATGGCTTGAGACCAGTTTACCTGAGGGACCATCTCTTGCCAGTCATATCTACCTGACCCATTACAGCAGGGAGGAAAGGAATATTGTGAGTCCCGTCCCTTAAGGAGATGCATCTGGTGGGACCCAGAAGAAGGGCCTTCTCCATGGTGGCTCCCTCACTCTGGAACATCATTCCCTCAGAGATTACACTGGCCCCCACTCTAACACTCTTTTGGAAGGCGCTGAAGACCTGGTTCTGCCAGCGGACCTGGGAAACCCAGAATGGGATAGAGCCCAGCTAATGGCTAGTTTAATGTGTGTTGTCGCTGGGGTGGGGGGTTATTATATTATTTTATTATTTTTCCTTATTTTATTTTTTATAGGGTGGTTTTCTATTTATGTAAGCCGCTTTGAGTCACCATGTGCGAGTAGGTAGCAATACAAATTTTCTAAATAAATAAAAATAAATAAATTTTTCAAAACCAACAGACTGTAGTGAGTCCTTGATCTCTTGTACCCAGAAGACTCATGAGCACCAGCTACAAGGTGGCAAAGTTTACAACTGGTAAGGAAAGGAAATAAAGACAAAAACGTAGTGTAACACCCTAAAGGAGAATTAACCGATTCTTACACGCAGGACAGATAAATGATCTATTGTACATTAATTAGTTATCCTAATAGCTTGATCTGGCATACTACAATTAATAAGGATGGTTGTAATCAGCATCCTTGACAGTCTTATAGTTTCTTAATGCATCAAAGAAAAGGAACAAAGATGATTAAGGAACTGGAGGCTAAAACATATGAAGAACAATTGCTGGAATTGGGTATGCCTAGTTTAATGAAAAGAAGGACTAGGGATGACATGATAGTACTATCCTAATATCTATAGGGCTGTCACAAAGAAGAGAGAGTCAACCTATTTTCCAAAGCATCTGAGGCAGGACAAGAAGCAATGGATGAAAACTAATCAAGAAGAGAAGCAACCCAGAACTAAGGAGAAATTTCCTGACAGTTAGAACAATTAATCAGTGGAATGACTTGACTCCAGATGTTGTGGATGCTCCAACACTGGAGATTTTAAGAAGATATTGGACAGCCATTTGTCTGAAATAGTATAGGGTTTCCTGCTTGAACAGAGGGTTGAACTAGAAGACCTCCATGGTCCCCAACTCTGTTATTCTATTAAGTATCATTTTATGCTGAAATGTAATGCACTTTCTGTAGGTAAAAGATACCACATACAAAGAAGAATTTTAGACCCAAATTATTAGGGATTTTTATAATAACTTTCAAATATATTAACTTATACAAAGGTATTTTTAAACACAACTTACATTATTTCCAGAAAAATAATGTATTAAATATAGTACTAAAACAATGAATCCAAGTTTGTTTAGGTAAGCATACCAACATTAACAATAGCACCACCCTGCTGTTGAATCATAGTCTTTACAGCAGCTTTAGATGTCAACATAGTTCCCAAAAGATTTGTCTGAAGCTGGGATATCATATCTTCAGATTTGGTTCGCAACAGTAGTCCATCCCTGGAATCAAGAAAAAAAATTAGTTGTATTTAATTGATTACAGTTGGGTCAATTCTGAATTTATTCTAATAATTTCATTATGAAGTTGTGTACCTAAACTTAACATACTATATTTATTAAAGGAATGTTGCTGATGAAGAATTAACTATCAAGCTTTGTATATTTCCATAATATTTTACCTATGTATCTTTGCTTAAACTATCATTTTGTAAGTACAATATATTTGAAGTTCTGAAGTCTTACAGTTTAAATATCTTTTAATATGAAACTGATATACAGAAAACTCTATACAATTCTGTTTAGCATTTTATCAGTATATAGATTCATAGGAATTAAGAGGATATTTCAAGATTATGTTTTGATCTTCAGTTAAGTGAGGTGTGCTGTGGAACAATGCAGTCACAGATTCTTTGGCTAATTCTGAATCTAAGGATCTAGGAACAGGGCTGTGACATCAAATGAGATCATGATTTCATCCTCATCTATAGTCACATCCCTGATTGTTCGAAGGCACTATAGTGGAGTGTTAATGGAGTGTTTGCTTCCTCTTGTAAGGTGCCCAAGATTTTGTGTTGATTCTTTTGCAATGCTGTATGTAGAGGTCCCTGGTAGTGATATGATTGGATGGAGGGATATGCCAGGTTTGTGTATTTTGGGGCATCCATAGAAACATGGGAAGATGGGTCTGCTGCTTCTCATCCATTCCACAGTACACCTGATTTAACTGAATACATGAAGATTGAAGCACCAAGGATTATGGATCTCATAAAACTCTGCATAACTACATATTTGATGGATAAATTTACCAACAAATTAAAGGTACGCCTATGAGATCACTGCTTTCAGGACTTATAGTGGACTTCATGTAATGCCTAGAAGCCATAGCACTTCCACAAATACAACCAAAAATAGGGGTTAGATATGTAGACCACACCTTCACCATAATAAAAAGGACCAATTAGTATACACCCTCAGAACTATCAATAACATTTTTAAAGAAATTCAGTTTACTAGAGAAGAAGAAAACAACAATTTGCTACCCTTCCTGGACATCCTGATCAGAAGAGACCACAATGGCAAATTAGAAAAGCATGTGTACAGAAAAATCACCCATTCTAACCAGGTGCTCCACTACCAAAGCAACTGTCAAGACTGATGCTCACTTTCACCTACACTTCCTCTTCACTCACAGCTTGACAATAATAGGGAGAGGGTGATTGGAATACAGGGGAGGGAGAACAGTATTCAAACATCTGCCTGCACCATGAGATATTGATGGCATCCAAGGGCACCCCGAGCAGATATCCTGGCATTGCAGACTGCTTCTCATATCAAAATGAAGAGGCGTGATTGATGGATGTTTTGGACTATGGTTGCCAAAGGGAAAAGGGGGGATTAACTACACTTTTGCACGGGAAACCCAGAGCTGGTTTTGCTTCTTCTGTGCCAAATGTGGCTTATTCAGTAAAGTTTTATACTCTTGGAAAAACAATGTCTCAGGAGTTCCTTTTTCTAGATTCGCCAACTGTACAGTTGACATTAAACCAGCTCTCTCTCTAGCAACCTACCTGGACTCCACCAGGATGTTAGCAGCTTCAGGATATCGGCAGCCAATCAAGACCCGGATGGGGAGACAAAGCTGGGGGGAGCCCCCTTTCGAGAGACTCCAGCAAGGACTCAAGCCGAAGCTGGAATGCAAGCAGCCGGCACACACCCCAACCGCCCACGTTCAAGGGGGAGAGAGCGATGAAGGGAACCTACCCGGGCCCTAAGGTCTGGTGGGCAAGCCACATAGGGAAGACAGCAGAAGCCCAGGACCAACCAGTCCCCCTTGGGGTCATGGTAGCCTGGGGGAGCAAATGGAAAACCAGGTGAGCAGCCAAGTGGAATGACCTGGCTGAGTGGAAGTTCCCAGCCATGGTTCGCAGCCCATCGATGGAACAGCTGAGGGAAAGTTCAGCGGACTGCAGGTCCAGGGAGCCACCTCACTTGAGGGCAGGAATCGCAGGAGCTAACATGGGTGCCATGAAACCTCTGTCTACCCCATCTCCTCCCCTCCTGCAGCTGATGGTGCCTACCCTCCTTGCGGTGATGGAAGCCCCCCACTAAGGGATGGCACCTCCCGTCCCTGCTGCCTCCCCACCAGTACATGCAGCCCCAATGGCAGCTGGAGTCCCTGCTCTGCTCCCCCTGGCAGCAGTGGGGTTGCCATCTGGATACATCTTGGTGTTACAGTACCCACTGCCGCCTCCCCTGGCGGTCCAGTTCGATGGGTGACCCAATAACCTGGCCTATTTCCTGACCCAGATCTAGAACTAGATGGAATGCTATGGAGTGATGAACCCGGAAGAGCACGCCTGGGTCAATGCCATTACATCTAACCTAGAAGGGAATGCCGCAGGGTGGCTGGTGTCTCTCCATAACAAAAGGGCTCCAGAGCTGCAAAATCTGGATGCTTTCATGTAGGCGTCGCAAGACAGATTCAAGGACCTCACGTCAGCCCAGCGAGCAGAGACCTGCATCCACTCCCTATGGCAAGGCAAAAAGCCAGTGGCAGAATACATCCAAGATTTCCGCAGCCTGGTGGCTCATCTGAGAGATTGGCCCAAGAGTATGCTGGTCTACCAATTCAGAAGAGGTTGAACAAGGAGCTGTATCATAACTGCCTATAGTGGGGGGTGCCTTGCAACCTCCAAGCATGGTACTAGCTAGCCACAAATATGAAGCTCAAACTGATGGCACAGGTACCTGGAACACATTGCATATGAGAACCAGTCCTAATGAATGCCCAAGAGACACCAAGTGCCCTGTGGAAGGAAAGGGGAGAAGCCCTGCCGGAGCCCAGGAACGTGTTTCCGATGTGGGAAGGAAGGTCACCGAGTGGCCAACTGCCTCACACTGCAACCGGCATCTGCACCACAAGCCCAGCCAAAGCAAAAAAAACCCACCTGCAAAGCCGAAAGAGAAAAAGCGGGTGGTTCAACCAGTCATGGAGGTGTTTCCCCAATCCAGAGAAGGGGAGGGAACTCCGATCCACGACAAGCCTGGCTTGGTCTTCTACAAAAGAAACAGTGAAGGAGAAGATGATCCGATGGTAAGTGGTACTAACATCCATATGATGATTCAGGTGGAGATTTTGGTGCCCTCTTTGGGAATAAGAGGGGGTCCTCATGCCTTATTGGATTCAGGGTGCACTTGATGCCAAATCAGCCTTCAGATAATGGAAAAACTAGGACTGAGGCTAAGGAAGTTAATGCAGCCCAGTGGATTCTCCTAGTTAGATGATTCCCTCATGGGAGGGATACCCGCAACCTGCCTAACAGAGCCAGTGAGCCTAAGGGCTGGGCTCCACATAGAGACTATATTTTTATTGTGGCTCCTGGAATGACTGAAACCATGATCCTAGGACTAGCCTGGTTGAGGAAATGGAATCCGTCAGTGGATTGGGACAGCAACAAGTGGCGTATGAGAAAGAAAGCGGCTAGCCAGCAGGAGCTAGCAAAAGTGCCAAATGCCAGCCACAAGCCTGCAATTAGGAAAGTGAAAGTGGAATCAGCTAATACACTAAAGGGGAGTGGGGAGTTAGGGCTGCTCATTCCAAATGAATACTGCGACCTAGCAGAGGTGTTCAGAGAGAGGCAATTGGACGTGCTCCTGCCCCATAGCTCCATAGATTGGGGCCAAATTACTCAAGCCGAAGATGTAGTCCATGATGCCAAGGGAGATGGAAGAACTTTGAGGGTGTATAGATAAGAACTTAGCCAGGGGATTTATCCATCCAGAGAAGTCAAGGATGGCTGCCCCTGTGCTTTTCAAGAAGAAGAAAGACAGGTCTCTTAGACTGTGCATGGATTACCATGGACTGAACTGTATCTGCATGGAAAATATGTATCCCCTCCCCCTTATGAGAGACATATTGGGTTACCTATCCAAAGGGAAAATCTTCACTAAACTGGACCTGAGGGAGGCATATTGCCAAATGAGAATTAAGAAGGGGGATTAGTGGAAAACCACATTTAACTGCCCCTTGGGTTGCTACCAATTTCAGGTGTTGCCATTTAGGCTGCAAGGAGCACCAGCAGTATTCATGCAGTTGATAAACCAGGTCCTGCATGAGCATCTGTATAAAGGGGTGCTGGTGTACCTAGATGATATTTTAATTTATATCGAGACTATGGAAGAGCATGTAAGTGAGAGCAGTACTTGAGAAGCTACGAAAAGCCCAGCTGTATATGAAACTGTCTAAATGTGACTTTCACAAAACCAACTGAGACTATCTGGGCTATCGCATTTCTAAGTATGGGGTAGAAATGGACCCAGGTAAGGTGAAGGCAATTCTGGAGTGGGAGGCCTCCCTGCACCAGAAGGCAGCTACAAAGTTTCTTGGGGTTTGTGAACTTTTTTTGGCAGTTCATTCCCACTTTTGCACAGATAGTCCTGCCGATCACCAACCTGCTCAAGACGGGGGGAGAGGTGAAACCCAAACCGAGTCAGCCACTAATTTGGTCCAGTAAATGCCAAGTGGCCTTCGAAAAGCTGAAGTGGCTCTTTGCCGCACAGCCAAACCCAGATGAGCATTTTATAATCTAGGCCTATGATGGTGAACCGATGGCACGCGTGCCACAGGCGGCACACAGAGCCGTCCCTGTGGGCACGCGCGCCATCGCCCCAGAGGGAGGCGGGGCCAGGCTGCTCCCCTCCCCCTCTCCACATGCACCAGTGCTCTCGCTCTCTTTCTCTCTGCACTGGGAGTCAGGGAGCAGCTGCAAGAGCTGGGCAGATCCAGGCTGGGTGGTGGAGGAGTAACAAGGTCACCGGAGAGAGTGAAACTGGGAGAGGTAGAACTGCTAGGGCTGGGAGGACCCAGGAAGGGGAGCTGGGGAAGCAGGGTCTCTGTGGGCGATTCAAAGGGAGGCGACGCAGCAAGGCACACAGCCCTGTCTCCACACACGGCACACAAACAACCTTCCTTCCTTTCTAGACTAATTGAACCCTAGTCA